TCTTGCAAGTTCAAAGGTTCTAAAGACAATTTTAAATCATTTTTTTAAAGAACTAGCTTGCTTTCTTTTTTATTAAATTTTATATTTTTTATGAGTTAAAATATCAACTTAATAACTAAATTAATTGTCTTAAAGTTGAAGCTTAAATATATGTTGTAATTCTACCATTTCCTTGACTTGCCCTGCCAATTAGACCCGCCTGGCATGTGGCCATAATCCTTTATCCTTTCAACTTGTCTCCTTTTCCTTTTGGACATCCCACAGCAGCTGAACCTTCAAACCCATAAATTCCATCTCATCAATATGCAAAAGGATATGGGAGTCTTTCTCTCTGGAAAATATTCCAAAAAGAAATCGATCGAAAACAGAAGGAAGCCGACCAAGCAAATTGGAGCAAGCATTTGCACCTGTAAGAGCCATCTCTTTCTGGACTCCGGCTGCCGTCTCTTTCTATTGATTCCTTATCGAGAGACGAGCATCGATGGCAGTCGGCTAATGAAGACAGGTGCCACAGGACAACAGGACGAGAGGATAACACAGGCCAAACACCAAAAACAAAATATATGCAAAGAAGAAAGGCACAAACAGTGTAAGAGAAGACGCTTTTGTTTTAGGTTACACTGAAAAAAATAGAGCTACAAAATTTTAAAAAATTAAAGAGATTCCAATATAGTTTTTAGATTTTTTTATTAGTAAGATTTTTAGACACATTTTTAGAATTAAAAGAAAATATGTTTTCCATTAAAGCCTTACAAAATTATTATGATTTGTTAGTAATTCTTTCAAAGCGACTAGAAAAACCTTTCAGTGTAAAAACTAGTCCCATTAAAACCCACATAATATTGACTACATTATAGAGGCAGGTTGCCGCTCTTGCCAGGATAATACAGGACAACCAGCATAATCAGCCAAGTGCCTGTGCAACATTACTAATTTCATCGCCGAATACGCTAATTTTGCGGAAGAGAGAACAATATTTAAGGACTACACAGGACATAGAAGGCATAACGCAATACGCAGGATATTTCGCACATGTCCCGGTGGCTGCACAATGACAATGATATGGGAAATCGTAAATCGGAAAAGGGATGTCCTGGCTGGCTGGCTGACTGGCGGAGGAGAGAAAACCATAATTTGGCCCGCATCTTCAGCTGCTTCCAGGATACGAGTATTGCCTACCAAGGTGCAAATTTTTATGACTCCTTTTTATACACAAGTATGTGGTATATAAAAAAAAATATACATACATGTGTGTAGATCCCGTTTCCGATCTAATAGCTAATCAAAATACCCCAGATCTTTGCCCATTTCTTTGTGACACACGCCCCTCGGGCATCCCGATTTTAATGGCGATTTGATAAAGTCGCCTTCGATCGTAAAATATTTTGTCTCAATCGTAAAAAAGTGTAAAAATCCTTAAGTCCTTATAGTGAATTTTACGACTTGAATTTAGGAGACAAACAATTCATTAGGCATTTAGGATTTTAGGAAAGTTTTTACACTTTTTTACGATCCATCTTTGTGGGCAAACATTGCGTTTTCTTGGGATAAGTGTTTGTAGTTTGGTTTTTATTTAGGAATTGGGATGGAAATGTATATTACTTGAAGGAAGTGAGGGGGTTATTATGTTTATTAGATGGTATTTAGGGGGGGTATTTTTAGGAGATTTTATTACAAAGTTCTTAAGAGTTATTTTCGTGTGATTTTATGAAAGGCTCAGGGGTTTTCTTTTGGTTTTAGTTTTAAAATTAGAATAAGCCCTACGAGATACCTTTAGGCTTTAATTTTTGATGTAATGATTAGCTAAATATATCTATATTTAAGTATGTTTTTTCTATGTTTATTAATTTAAGTTTACAATGTGGCATAAGGGCATAAAATAAACTATGTAAAAGCTTCATGAATTTATCTCTAAAGAAAACTCTAACGTTATCTAGACATTTAAGATATGCCTATCTTAAGTTTATTTTAAAGAAGTTTATAGAAGTTATTTATTCGATTTTTAGATTCTTTAATAAATAATTAAGAGCAATTAATATAAGATTCTAGATCTAAGAGAAACACTAAACTTTCTTAGTATAGTAAAATTTCCAAAGTGCAATAAAAAAGAGAACCAATAGGCTTATAAACCTATCAAAAGTGTTTTATTTATATTTAAAATGAAAATAAAATATTCTCCAATATAATACCTCAAAAATTGAATTTTTATATATTCTCAATTAAAAAGAAATTAAAAAAACATTTAAAACTTTCCAATTGAGAACCCAAATCCAAAGTCACAAGACAAACAAATCGGCAAAACGAAAGTTCACTTCAAATTGGCTTAAGTGCTTAACGGAGAGTCCATTCACTTTCCGAAGGATGTGCAGCCTCCCGGCTCGACCTCCTCTGATCCTTTTATTTGCATTGGCTGACCGTAAAGATTTTTAATTACCCTTTTTTTTGTTGTTGGTTGCTTGCGAGTCCGGAAAGGACGATAAATGTATCTATTAGTTTGGATTTGTTTGTCGGGCAAACAACATTTACATAAGAAATCTGTATCTGAGATCAGCATCTCGCAGGACTTCGAAAAGGAGCAGCAGCAACCCCTTCCCATCGAATCGATTGCTTGATCCTGCGGTTTGGCCCAAACTCCTGACCTCTAGCTTTTAGTTTTTTTTTTTTTTTTTTTTAACCCTTAGACTTTAAAACAAAAGCCGCAGGATATGAATTAAATTTAAAAGATTAAACGTAAAAACTAAAACAACAATGTGAGGCGAGTGTTTGGCGCGAAAAATAATTCAAGATGTTCCAAAAAAACAAAACCAAGAGAGAGCCAGAAAGAGAAGGCTCTAGTAGAGGTAGAAAGAGTCGGGTATAGTGTGAGTGTGCGAGCCCGTCACTTTGATTAATTGTCAAGGATCAGGATATTTCGTTGGCTGTGCTGCCGTGAAATCAGAGCCTTTTTTGACAAATACAAATAGCAATCTCCTTCGACATTCCTTCCGATTTAGTTCAGATCCTCCCCTCGGAGGCCAGAGTGTCCTTTTTATTATATTCTCCTTCCGTCTTGGACAGAATCTGATCTGGTTTCGAACCACTGCTCACGTCACTTGGGATTAGGTCCTTTGGCAGGACTCGGTTAGCATTCCCCCCCCTCCACTGTGCCCGCTCTGCTCCATTTATTGACAGTTGCGATTCATTTTCGTCCTTGTTGGCTGCAATTCCCTTCCCCGTCTTCCCTCTGACGTTGATTGAGTTGCCATTCGGCGGCGTCTTCAACTCTGTCGCTAATGATAGCCATCACTTTGGGAATCCTTCCTTTGCAACTCGGAGTTCCCTGCCATTAGAGTTCGTTTTATTTCGTTTCATTTAACAAAGGCTGGCAAGGATCTTGCGCCAAATCTCGAAATCTGCAAATCCCTTTCATGGTTTCTGAAATGTAATTGAAGAAATGTTCACACCCGAGCGCATATCTTTGACAATTTTTAGCAAAGCCCTACAGGGAATAGAAATCTTCTAGAGATTCGTAGCTCCATTCGGGGCTGCGACTTATGCCACTTGGGGAAGCTATATCTTTTACAATATCTATCGGCTCCCTAAGAGGGATACATTAAACGATTTCTAGAAGGATTCTCAATAAATCTGCATCAAAATATTAAAGAAAAAGAAAATTTGAAATTTTTTCAAATTTTTCCGATGGACACCCTTCAAAAATTGCGAAAATCGTGGGGCTGCGAAATATGCCACTTCCGGAAGCTATATCTTTTACAATACTCATCGGATCGCTAAGCGGGATACCTTAAACGATTTCTAGAAGGATTCTCAATAAATCTGCATCAAAATATTAGAGAAAAAGCAAATTTGAAATTTTTTCAAATTTTTCCAATGGACACCCTTCAAAAATTGCAATAATCGTGGGGCTGCGAAATATGCCACTTGCGGAAGCTATATCTTTTACAATTTCCATGGGATCCTTAAGCGGGATACCTTAAACGATTTCTAGAAGGATTCTCAATAAATTTGCATCAAAATATTAGAGAAAAAGGTAATTTAAAATTTTTTCAAATTTTTCCGATGGACACCCTTTAAAAATTGCGAAAATCGTGAGGCTGCGAAATATGCCACTTGCGAAAGCTATATCTTTCACAATACTCATCGGATCCCTAAGCGGGATACCTTAAACGATTTCTAGAAGGATTCTCAATAAATCTGCATCAAAAGATTGAAGCAAAAGGTAATTTGAAATTTTTTCAAATTTTTCCGATGGACACCCTTTAAAAATTGCGAAAATCGTGAGGCTGCGAAATATGCCACTTGCGAAAGCTATATCTTTTACAATTTCCATCGGATCCTTAAGCGGGATACCTTAAACGATTTCTAGAAGGATTCTCAATAAATTTGCATCAAAATATTAGAGAAAGAGGTAATTTGAAATTTTTTCAAATTTTTCCGATGGACACCCTTTAAAAATTGCGAAAATCGTGAGGCTGCGAAATATGCCACTTGCGAAAGCTATATCTTTCACAATACTCATCGGATCCCTAAGCGGGATACCTTAAACGATTTCTAGAAGGATTCTCAATAAATCTGCATCAAAAGATTGAAGCAAAAGGTAATTTGAAATTTTTTCAAATTTTTCCGATGGACACCCTTTAAAAATTGCAAAAATCGTGGGGCTGCGAAATATGCCACTTGCGGAAGCTATATCTTTTACAATTTCCATCGGATCCTTAAGCGGGATACCTTAAACGATTTCTAGAAGGATTCTCAATAAATCTGCATCAAAATATTAGAGAAAAAGGTAATTTGAAATTTTTTCAAATTTTTCCGATGGACACCCTTTAAAAATTGCGAAAATCGTGAGGCTGCGAAATATGCCACTTGCGGAAGCTATATCTTTTACAATTTCCATCGGATCCTTAAGCGGGATACCTTAATCGATTTCTAGAAGGATTCCTAACAAATCTGCATCAAAACATCATCAAAAAGCTATATTATACTTGTTATTATTTATTGCACTATAACCCTTTTTTAATATCGTATATTTCCCCTCCGGTTTCAATATCTTGGCCAATTTTCTTCGGATCGAAGCTGACTGTCTTCTTATTTCCACCACATACTGCCTGTTCTGATAATAGCACAAAATTGCAACGTTTAGCAGCTCTTTTCCTGGGCTTGAGCCATTTCCGGCACTTAACCCTATTGGCTCGTCGATTGTTTCCCAATTTACGAAGGCAACATGTGGCAAGCACTTGAGCAATTCCTCCGACTCCTTTTGCTCCGCTTTGCTCCTTTTTGATCCTGCAGCTTGTTAGCATGGTCTTGTGTGGATCCCAGCCTGAAATGCAGTGAAAAAAAATTATTATGTTTATTTATATCTTTGAAATTACCTATCAAAACTTACCATTTTCTGACATTTCCCATTTGTGTTTATATACCCATCTGTGTTATTTTTTTAAGTGTATTCGCGTTGGTGTTTACCGAAGGAGCGCGTCGACAGATGTCCCAGGGGCTCTTGTATTTTATTTTCAACCGCCGACGCATGCCACGATGCGATTTTGTTTCCTTTTCTTTTCTTTGGCTCCTTGTTCTTGTTCTTCGGCGAGTCCTTCGGAATCGTCCTCAGTAGTCCTGGCAGTCTATTGTGTTTGCTTGGCTCGTGACCAGGGATCAGGATCCCTTTTTGGCGCACTTTTCGGAAAAGGTGTTTTTTCTCCGCTCCGCTCGGCTCTTATGCGACATTTGGCAAGAGAGCGTTAAATCAGAGCGGCGAGTGTGCCAACTCCCCCGCCACTTTGTCCTGCTTCAAGGATCCTCAGATCCTGCCAGCTGGTTCTGCAACATCAATTGAGTCGAGACCGAGAAATGAGAAATGAAATCTGTAAGGCAAACAATGAAATTTCAATTCACAATTCACATTTTTAAACAATGACTCGAAAAGGCATTTAATATACATTTAATGCAACAGCCTAGTCCTGCCAATCCTGGGATACTGTATCCTGTATCCAGGCCAGATGGCTACCGTACAATTTTCCACATGACACCGCCTTCCTTCTCCACATATCTCCTCATACATTCTTATATATATGGCTTTATATACATAACTGGCATAACTTAGTTATGGCTCGATAATTTCCAAAGTTCACAAGATGCACTGTAAGAAATTTTAAGAAATTAATGGTATATTACCCTCTTAGTTACAATTTACAATTTATAGTTACAATTTTGTTTATAAAGACGACCATAATTTTGACTTTTGAAAAGTACACACACAATAGAAAATATTGTTAATTTTTCAAAAATCACATAACTTATACATTTTTAAATATTTACATAATTTTCAAATTTTGATGAGGTCTAAACGGTACGATACTTTCTTCAAAACTGATTCCAATTCTAGAAACAATCACCCAAAAAATCCAAAATATTTTCCAAGTCCTACTTTTTTAAACAAAATTTCACTTTAAAACTTAAAAATTGACTTGAAAAAAAATGTATAAAATAATATTGAAAAAAAAACTATTTATTTCCTTTCAGTGCTGTTATGGCTGGTTGGTCCTTTGGCTTACTAAGCTGGTGTACAGCTAACAAGGACCACGAATCCTGGCCGGGAAACACCAAAAAATGAATTCAAGACAACCCATAGCCATATAATTTTTGTCGATACGAATACGAATACGAATACGATTCTATGCAAATTTATGCAAATGTCGAAACGTTTTGTAGTCCATGTCCTTGGTCCTTTTTGGTCCTGCTGGTCGTGGGTCGTTGGTGGTTCCATTTGGTGGCGCACAGGTGCGTGATAAGTGCCGTGTAAAGGACTAGTGCTGGACACACACAGGATATGCCGCAACATTTTTACTAGGGTCTTGAATAAAAAAAAAGGACTACCGTCTCCCCCGCTACTTATATAAGTATATATATATTTTTGTACCCTATTTTTTAGTCCAAGTTGAGAAATTTTCGAGTTCAAAGTCATGATGATGGAATTCATGGGCGGAACAAGGAAGTAGGTTTCTTCTATTAAATGCTGAGTAATCCTGGAGTCATAAACGGTAGCCTTATCCTTGTCTTTATTTATAATTAATAGTTTTAAATGTTTAACAAGGTTAGAGGTTATTTTTTGTAGAGTCCTTTGAAGGGAAAAATAATTCTAAAAACATATAGTTAAGGGCTTAGTCTTGTTTATTGGTTCTAAAAATTATTTTAGCTTCAAAAAATATTTCAAACCCCAAGAAAAAAAAATATATTATTTTCACTTTCAATAACTTGAATTAAAAATATTATTTAACAAAAAAGTCTAACAAGTAGGCTTTGAAACGAACTTCCGAACCGTCCCGAGGGAAAGCCCTAGGCTACGGGGCCCCTGTCTCATTTATGTTTTGTGTTTCACCTAGTCATGTTCGATAGTAAATACACTCAATTACAGACATGGATAGGGCACTACTTTTCGATTTACACCAGCCTGAGATTATCATTCCCGAGCCAAATACCAGTGCCGTGGAAGTGGCCAAGCACTGTCTGCCACCAGGGACCATAGTGCGCATCTCGCTCCTCGACTCTCCGCCGGAATCTAACGAGGAGATTACCGACTACGAGGTCATAAAGTACGACTACTGCCGCCAGTTGCTCCGCCTGAAGACTGCCAAGTTGGTGGCCAACGATGAGGAGGCACCGCAACCACAACTAGTGGAAGCTGAAGCGGTAGTCGTAGTCGAGGAGGAAGCTAAGCAGGAACTGGAAGCTATGGAGGAACTAGAAGCCAAGCAGGAACCGGAACCTAAGCAGGATCAGGAATCTCAGCAGGAACTCGAAGCCAAGGAGGAAGTGGAATCTCAGCAGGAACTCGAAGCCAAGGAGGAACTAGAACCTAAGCAGGAACTGGAAGCCGAGCCGGAACTACTGGAGGTAAGCGAAGATCCTCATGCCAAAGGTGATACCCTCTCCAATCAAGGGGAAGCCGATCAAGATGCTCTTGATGCCAAGCAGGACTTGCTAGGTCCTGTGGCTGCTGCTCCTCCGGTCGCTCTACCGGAGGATGGCGGCGGCGGTGAAGAAGCCTGCAAAGATGAGGTTCCTCAAGTGATCCTCGTCGATTTGCGTTATTGCTGTAAGCTGGATATCATTAGGCTACCCGAGCCAGAAACCCCTAAGGATAAAGAGGAGATGCTGGACATTCAGGAACCAGATAAACTTAAGGAGGATGGTGTAGATCAAGAAGTAGAACTTCAGAAGATTAGACCTTCTGAGGATACATTGCCACATATAGAACACGAAGACATAGTACTATCAAACGAAGAAGACAAGGAGGACCTGGATATAGAGCAGGACATAAGGCTGTTATGGCTAGATCCCCACAAAGACGATGACGAGGACGAGGAAGAGACTAACAAGGAGGACCAGGAGGAAATGGTGGATCAACTAGAGGTCCCAGAACTTCAACTCGAATCGGAAGCTTCTGAATGGGGCGACTCTAACTCCTGCGATTTCGATGATGATCCCTCTTTCGAGCCTAGCCCTCTCGTCCTGGAGCTGCGTCGTCTGCTCCGCCGCCAGCTGCCGTACGTCGGCAGGATTCGCTGCGAGCCCAATGCCATTATTGTGGAGGATCGGGTTATCATACAACGTCCTTATCTGGCCATCAATGTGAAGGTCCTGCCCGAGCCAGAAGCCACTTCCGACTCTTTCACTTCACACATAAACGATATAGGAGCTTATACCACTGGGCAGTTGCTGGCGGAGATCCGCTGCCTAGTCCACCAGTTTCACGAGGAGTTCATCGTGGTGCTGCTCTGGCGCAGATTGCGCTTCAATGAGGCTTCTCTGGAAACGCCTCGCTTCGATCCATCGTTCTTCGAAGACAATTCAGCCGAGGAGGAGGAGGATCATCCTTCTTCTAATGATGCTGTAGATAATGATGAATTATTGCAGACCGATCCGGAACCGGAACCGGAAACAGAGCCGGAGGATATGCCGTTGTCTGCGAAGGAGCCTTGCGACTTGCCTGCGAAGCAGCCTCGCAAGAAGAAGTGCTACGTTAACTTCATTCAGAATTACGAGTACGTGACGAAAAAGGTGGACACTGCTACCCCGGAGGGGTTCCTCAACCGCCTGCGCCAGATCCAAGCCAATAAGATGAAGCTCCGCCAGCTGGAGCTCGCCAAGGCCCGGCTCGAGGAGAGTCGCCGCCTGGCCGACATCTCGCTGGTTGTGCTCAACACCTCACCATCGAAATCAGGTCCGCGTCCTAGACGCCTCGGACACAAGCGGCCCAACCCGCCGCGGGATTCGCCCAAGAATCGCGATAGCGTTAGCGTTTAATCAAACCGGAGATGGTCCGGGTTGGGCATCATCTTTCCTCTATTTTGAAGAACAAGCCATCGGTAATAAGTTACTTTATTTTATTTGTAATATTTAATAATTATTTAAAATTATTTCTTCAAGGGACTGCACTTGCAAGTTTAAAACCGATGAGATGATGTCCAAATTGTTTAACAAAAAATGAAGAAAAGCCTGGACAAGAACAGATGCTCAAGAAAATATATCAAATATGTTGTTATACTTCCATAAAATCAAATTTTTATAGTTTCAAGGCAATAAAAAAATTTTCAATTTTAATTTTAAAGATTTTTTAAAATATTATACCATAAGAAACTAACTCGAAATAGCCCCTTTATGGTTGAGGGCTTAAATCTAAGTATTTTGAGTGGGTTTTCATTACTTTCATTACTTATAGATCCTATAATAAAGAATATAATAAAGAATATAATTTAAACTCATAGAAAATATATAAAAACACCACATAAAAATATTATTTTTTAGTTCATTCTTTATTTATCGAAAAAAAAATATATTTTCTTAGATTGTTATAGGATGGGTGTTAACATTTAGTTTTATTTTATTTATTTTTCATTTGAAGGCAAGGATAGTTGCGCTTTGAGCCACTCGGAAAAAAATAGATGATCTTAGAATTTACAACCAAACAGATTTTCCAAAAAAAAAAAAATAGAAACATAAAAAAATGGAGCGAAGGACACTTCTCACTTCTCCACAAAGACATCCTCCGAGAAGGAGAAACTGAGGCGCCGCTTCGTGGTGGCCTCGGCCGAAAAGTGACCGAAAGGATTCAGATCCTCCTCCGCATCCAACTCCTCAAAGTCGCTGGTGGAGTTGTGGCCGCTGTCCGGGCTGATGTGTCGCCTCTTGGGGGCATGCGCTCCTCCTCCACCCGACTTGGCGGCGGCCAGGAGCTTCTGGGCCGACTGCCGGACGCTGGAGGAGATCTTGGTGGTGATCTTTCGCTTGCGCCGCACCACCCGCTGCCTCCGCAGGGCCTGAAGGGAGTGGCGCTTGCGGCTCTGGCCGGGATTGCGGGCGGGGGAGCACACCTCCCGCTCCTCGAACCGCGTCAGGGAGGTCTCCCGCTGCGAGGGCGACTTCCAGTACTCCCGCAGGTCGCTGGCGGGATCAAAGGCGGGGCGGTAGGTGGGCGAGTGGGTGGCGGCGGAGGAGGTGGTGCCCTTCAGGTGGTGCAGCGGATGTCGGTGCCTGTGTTGCCTTGGGGGTCGGATGTTGGTGGTCTTTCGGTTGCTCTCCAGGATGGCGTCGATCATCCTCTCCAGCGTCACGTCTCCCATCTGGCTAGAGGACCTGGTCTGGTTGGTGGTGGCCTGGGTGGGAGCGGGAAGGGGCTTCTGCTCCAGGTAGCGCGGCTTCTCGAAGTAGCTGTCCGGGATTCCGACTCCGCGCAGGGCGATCAGAGGCCCCGGGATGACGGAGCTCGGGGAGTACTCCGCCTCGAAGGTGGGCAGCGTGCAGGCGTACTTCGGAGCTCCTCCGATGGTGCCAGGTACTGCTCCAAGGGCTATTCCTTCCGCTTTCTCACCCTGAGGCGTTGGGGTAGCCAGGATATTGCTCAGGTCCTTGAGCAGCGGAGTCCGTGGCATCAGTGAGCTGGCCGGCAGCGGAGTGGAGGTCATCTGGTTCTCCTTGCCCGGGCCCGGCACTATCGCACTCAAGGACTTCCGCTTCATCTTGCCCCGCAGGGCGTGGAACTCGCTGTAGCTGGATCCCTTCGGCTCCGCCAATCCAGTTTCCATTCCCAGGGCCAGCTCCTTGGCCAAATACGAGTTTCGCGGCTGGTTGACAGCCCACTTGAGCATCTTGCCAGCTGCCGTGGATGTTTGTGTTCCAGATATATCTAAAAGTAGCAACAAAAAAATAAATAATTAAATAAAGGATCAGGCTATTTAGGCTTTTTTTTTTCTATTTGCAAAAAATAGAAAGGAAACTCTTGCAAGGAGAGAGGACTTTGGCAAACAGAACGAGTTTCGTCTTGGGTTCTCGGCAAGGATTCAAGGAGCAGGGACTGGCTGGTGCTGTTTCGGTTTCTGGTAGTGGTACTGGTACTGGTTCTGGTTGCGATTCTGGTTCCCCATATCCTTGCGAACAATTGAACAGGCACAAAGCCTTGATCCAAACAAAGGAAAAGCCCGCTAAAGCTTCTCTGATTCGCAAATTTCTGCACTGGCCCTCCAGCTGCGGATTTTGCCTGAAACCTTCCAGGTCTCGTGTGCTCTCGGGTGGTGCGACTGCACTGAGAGAAAAATATATATATTTTTATAGAGAAAGGGTGCTCTAAGCTCTTGTCTGGAGAATGGTTATACTGGAAACCATTTAAGCTTGAAAAGAATTGTTAGATTCTGCTCTTCATAGTAACCATTTAAAATTTTAAACCAAAGGAAATCCTCAGATATTTAAGAATATAAAGATAACTGATTCTAAGTTGTGGTTTTTAAATAAAATATATAAAAAAAGATACCTAGATACCTCAAAAACCTAGAATCTCTAATTTCTTGAATAGATATTTCATTAATTTCTCTAAGATCTATATAAAACTAAGAACTATTTTGAACTTAATGCCTTTAAAATCTTAAATCAAACTGGACAACCTGCCAGAAGATATATTTTTCTTTCTGTGTATAGTGAATAGCAATGGTGGTGCTGCCACACTCCCTTCCTAGACCGCCTCCTGCTCCTGTTTCCCAATTCCGCTGCCTGCTGCTCCTGCTCCTTCTGCTCCTGATTACTGAACCCCATCCTACCGTCCACCAGTCGTGTCGATCTCTGGCCACTTGAGTCCCAGGAGTGGGATCGTACTAGAGGAGGTGAAGGGCACAAATTTTTAAACATTTTTGCGCATTTTGCAGCCGCTGCTCTCGCTTTAGTCTCAAGAGCACTCGAAACCTCATTCGAAATAAAACCCATAAACCATAAAATACATATCCTGGCCATAAAAAAAAAAAAACCCAAAAAATCGCACGCGTACAATTTATGCAATTTAATGCGATTTTTATGGGGTGTGTGTGCTCTGTTGTTTTCTTCATATTTTAATATTAATTAAAGTCCGGTCCACTTTTGCCTTTAATGCATTTTTAATAGACATGCAATAATCCAGTTTTTTTTCTCTCCAGCTTTAATTCATTCACTTCACTTTAGGTTTTATCTTTATTCCTGTATCTTTACCTTTTAATTGTATTTATAATTTTGTATTTTTCGGTTGGCACAGTTATAATAATTTTTTGGTTCTCTGGTTCACTTTAAAAAAAGAATAACGAAAAGTACAAGTACTAAATCAAATTTTTGAAAATTTTAAAAGCGCGTTTCGAGGAAGAAGGAGTTTCGAACACGTCTTGTCGTTTTCAGAGACGCAGAGTGACTGATTCTCCACTGGCACGGAATGTTGCGTGCTCACCTCGCCAGAGATTCTCCAGAGAATCGACAGAGAACCACCACCACCATGAAACACCTTTCAATATTGAAGGTGAGAGGTTGACACAGAGAGAGAGAGAGAAGCACAGGAATTTCTGTGTGAAAACAGGACATTCCCTTAGTCCTTTAACCCGCCCCCCCCGAAGCGATCAGATTTTGATATTGAAATTAAAATTAAATTCCATTGCCTGTCAATTTTTCATTTCACTTGGCATTTGTCAAGTTTCAGGATATTCCCCCGGAATAATTCACAAAAGTGACAAATGCTCCGTTTACGATCAGCATATATTATCCTAATGGGTCTTCAGGGAGTTGCTTTTCAAAAAATTGTAAAGGATTTCAGGGTCTGATTTTTTGGAGGATTTTTCAAGGGATTTTGAATTAATTTTTTGCAATATTTTTAGTTTAAATACTTAAATTATAAATCTTAGATTTTTTTTTTAACAAAAAAGGGGTCAACCTTTGAGAAAAACTATCCCTAAGACCTATCCAATTATTCGTCATGTCGTGCAGGACCTTTTGATCTGGGGTTTCTTTTTTTTTACATCTCCCAAAACTCAACTGCATCCTTGGCAAACAAACCGAATCCCTGCGCCCCAGGTCCTTGAGATACATACGTTTTTTTTTTCAATTCCATTTTCACAAATCAATCAAATAAAAAAAAAATCAACGGATCCCGGCAACTGCAACTGGGCTTCCTTAATACATTTTGTTTTTTTTTTTGTCCCTCCAACTATTTCTGCCCCTGATCCTGTCAGTCCTGGCTGTTTGATAAGACGTCCTTTTGCCAGAGAGGAGCCAGAGGGAAATCCTGAGCAAATATGTATAAACAGGAGAGCCTCCTCGATCCTCGATCCTTGTTGAAATTCTAAATTATGGGCCATAATTCAGGGCCAGGTTTTTAATAATTTTGCGCGCCCCGAAGGCAGAAGCCGACATGTGAGGGAGAAAGTCGGAGAATCGGAGAATTGGAGAAAGAAAGTGCGGAAGAGAGAGGGCAGACCAGAGCTGTGCTAATCCCCGAACAGCTGTCCAGTCCAAGGATCGTGTGTGGGTCCTGCGGATATAAGGAGTCCTTCTCCTTCTGCATTTCCTGGCGCTATCAGTTGTGATTTAAGATTACCTTTCGCCGATCCCGCTATGTCCTTTCCCCGTTTACCTACTTTTCACTTTATCTAGATTCTAGATGTCCTTGCTGCCGCACGTTTGTTCTCCTCAAGGCCGAAGGATAACGAATCGAAAGGTTCTATGCCACGAAAGGAGGTTCTTTCGAAAGAATGGGGGGATCAAAAACATCAATGATTCTGCACGGAAAAGAATATTTTATTAAAGGTTATGTTGGAAAAGGATTAAAAAGGATGTTTTTTTATATTTAACAATATTGGATTTTCTAGTTTAAGCAAAATAAATTTTTATTATTGTTTAACTTCAAATAGTAATTTTAAATTAATTTTATATCTTAAGTTTCGGATCCAGGTTCAAATGGAACAAGAGAAAACTTTGAGAGACTTTTTGATTAAAAGTTAAAAAGAAATGTAAACATAAAATTAGGATAAAATATAATAAAATACACAAAAATATTAAGCTTATATAAAAAAAGGATATTTTAAAAATTAAATTAAACAAAAGTCTATACAAAAGTTACAGAAAAAACAGACTTTAAAATAAAGACTTTATTCCACAATATACTATATTTCTTACTCCGATTCCCCTCTTAAGTTTGTGTTGAATTTTTTTCTCTGTAGAAAAATGATCATCTTGATTAGAGAATTAGAGAAAGAGAGAGATAGGTACATAGAGACAAAGTCTTGGAGAGAAACGGTAGCAAATCGAAGCGTGAATATCGCCTTGCAATTCCCATTTTGTTTGAAAAATTGCACAATTGTTGGGCAATTTATTAGCGGATCGGGATTGGGATTGGGTTCGGGGAAAACTAAGCCCGAGAAGCCAGAGTCCTGTAAGCAGGATCCCTGCCCTAATTTATCTTCCTTGTCACCCTCTCTCCTCGTCTCCTTCTCTTCCCGCAAAAAGGATCTCTCCCCCTCCTTCAATGACCAATCCGTAAAATTGGCTTCGATTCAAGAAAAAAAAATAGGAGGACTGGCACGGATTATTGCGAAGAAAATGTGGAAGCAGCTGTTACGTGTCCTTGGACATATATCCTTTGAAGGTGTCCTGCCTACCTCAAGGCAGCCTCACCTCAGCTTCCCCCAATATTATTGATTTATTTCAATTTGCCTTGATTTTTTGTCCAGAGATTTATTGTTCACTTTGGTCACTTCTCCAGCCCCCTCGTCGCTGACCAGCAGCTGAGGATCACTTTCCCAATGTAATTTCCATTTTTTTTGAATGGAAAATGGGAAAAAACTAATTAGTTTGATTCTTGGGTACCGGGGCGAAAAGCCTCTCGAATGTCAATTTGGCGTAACGAAGGTTTGAGATTTATTTTTCCATCCAGAGGTTGTGAGAAAAGTGTCTCGAATAGTTTATGGGAATTTATGAGAAAACTCTAGATTAGTTTCTAGAGGGTCTTGAGAATCGAAGGGAAAATATATGAACTATGAACTAGATGAAAGTTCTACAAATTCATTTAAAAAACTAAACTCATATTTAAAACACATGCCCAAAATAATTTATATAAATTAACAATCACATCAAAGTCCTTTGTCAAAGTCCTTTAAAATGACTCTTCATTTTCACAAACCCTATATCTCCTATATATCTCCCCTTAGTTCTTAAATTTGTTGAGAGTTCCCATGGGATCCAAAATCCTCTGGGGGTGGTCTAATGAACTTATATCACTCGAAACCTCTGAAAGAAATCTGTCCAAAAATGCCAACAAGTGCCAAAAATAAATAAAAACCAAGTCGGTGGCCCGGAAATGTTTTGATTTCTCAATGGGATATGCTCATAAAAATCAACAGGGACCTGCTGCCATTAACTTCCGATTCATAAATTTAAAAACTGCTCTATATATATATCCTTTTTTTTTTTGCACAAAAAGTGCCAAATAAATTAGGCAAGAAAAAGGAAAACAAATAATAAAGATTTGCCAGATGTTTTAGGGACGGCTGCGAAAATATCATAAATTTGCACTTTCAGAGAAAGGTCGAGGAAAGAGAGAGGACGATCTGGAAGAACAGGATATGGACGTGGATGTGGAAGCCTTTAACCAATAAATTGCGAAACAATTGCACAATTTTCCACAAGATATTCCTTCAGGCAGCGGCGCTCCTCTGCTTGTCCCATAAACAATGGCCAGAAATTACAAAAATAGCTAGACACAATGCCCAGGCTCCGAGGTCCTGGCCACAGTGTTTGTGTTGTCCTTTTCTTGGCGAAAAAAGGAGAGAAAAAAACCAAGGGCCAAGGACGAAGGATCAGGAAAAAATTACGTCCAAAAATTGGGGGATAGAAAAATATTGAAACGTTTGAAATACCCTGGTTTTTTGATATTTAAGGTTTGAAGACTTTGATTATTCAAAGTCTATAATACTTTTATCAAAGATTTCAAAAAATATATTATTAAGTATTTTCTAAAATAAAGTAAAATAATTAGAAGAAATACCAAACTCTGGAAGACTTTTAAACAAAAAAATCCCATAATTTGCAACAAAAGTTGTGTTAAAATTTTAAATAAAAAGGTAATATTATTAATGGCTAATTTCTTTATAAAAAAAAATAAATTCAATCGAGTACCAAACTACCCTTTCAATTTATAGTTTCCCTCAAAAAATTCCAGGGTACACTGAGAGCAAAACCAAGGTGAAATGAGCCACACGCTGCGAGAAAGGTAATTGAAAATTATGTTTTGTGGCGTAAGAAGCGAATAAGAACAGCTGGCCAGCTATCTTTTGTCTCTTTTTAGCTCCTGCCACCCCTCTCTCTCTTTCTCTAGACTCTTGGCCAACTTGGGAATGGGCCATTGAAAATCTCACGACCATCCTAGATTCGCACAGCTGTTGGCAGGATCGTAAATTCGATCGGTTAATGGCCATAATGCCTATCAAAATGATCATAAAAATGGAGATAAAATATAGATCATATAGTATATACTATGTAGATCAAAGGAAAAGGCCTACTGAAGGACGAGTATGACTTATTAATTGATAAGAAATTAGTTTGGAATTTATGGAGCATGTTATTTGTGTTCTAGAATTTTGTAGGAATTTAATACAAGAGACTTTGGTTTTATTTTAAGGGTTTTTAATAGATACTTTTAGGAAAATATGTAATATTTTTTATACATCTTTAAAAACTTGAGAAAAACTTCAATAACTTGGACTGGTTTTTAGTTAAAATTTTATAAAAATATTTTAGTCTTTTGCTTAACAACTATAATTATTTTACTTCAAAAATTAAACGAATTTTTACTCAAAACCCCCAAGAATCCTTAACCTCTTCCCTCCACCACCCACTTTCCATAAAACTGATTGAAAGAACCTTTCAACTTTCCACTTTCAACTGCGTTGGTGGTGGTTGAAAGGCTCTGCGCAGGCGCAACACGTTTACGCTCTCTAGCTCTAGCTGAGCTCTCTCTATTGTCTCTCCTGGCCGCTGCTCGCTCTCCTCGTTCTCAACTTGGCTAGCTGAAGCCTGCGGGTTGAAAGGAGAATCATTCAACGTTTCAACCTCAAGGAGAACGGATACATCCTCTAGAGAAACGTCCAACGTGCAACGTGCGAGAAATTTTCAAAAAATATCCGTAAACTATTATATTTTTTTTTTCGGTTGAGAAACAAAATCAGTGAAAGAAAAAAAAAATCAGAAAACCTATTGAAAAGGTAAATCATCAAGTGATGGAATACAAAGAATATAAAAACCATAATTTTTTGGCAATTATACTTCCAAATAATTGGTCATCTCAAGTTCAAAGTTCAATTAAATCGAAACTGGCCAGGGTCCAGGAATTAATTGCTCGTAAAGAAGTGGTTGGAATTATCCTCCTTTGAGATTTCATTTTTGCTGCTTGACTGATCAATAAATGCATATATATATATCTGGATACTCTCACATACATATATATGTTCATATATATCAGAATACATCGCGGAAAAAGCGCGCCAATTTTGCCGAAAACTCACCCGGCAACTTTGTCGGAATATTTTTATTTTTTTTCCTAAAAGCCAAAAAGTCAGGAATTCGCAGACAGAACCAGAATCGAACCCACTCTTACCCCGACTCCTTCTTTTCTTCCTTTGCAGCACCCACTACTCCAAAAAAAAATAAAAATAAAAGGAGATCCAGTCGCGAAAAGATGCTGAAGTGGGCCGTCAACCAGCCGAGGCCTTCATACTTGGCCCGGGATGAGCTGCTCTTGGCCGGAACGACGGAATCCAAAGGAGTCACCAGCTACAGCGAGTTCCACGCCCTCCGGGGCAAGCTGAAGAGGAAGTCCTTAAGCGCCGTGATGCCCTGCCCGGGCAAGGAGAACCAGATGACCTCCACTCCGCTGCCGGCCAGCTCGCTGATGCCGCGGTCTCCGCTGCTCAAGGACCTGAGCAATATCCTGGCTACCCCAACATCTCAGGGCGAGAAGAAGGAAGGAGTTGCCCTTGGAGCAGTACCTACCACCATCGGAGGAGCTCCGAAGTACGCCTGCACGCTGCCCACCTTCGAGGCGGAGTACTCCCCGAGCTCCGTCATCCCGGGGCCTCTGATCGCCCTGCGCGGAGTCGGAATCCCAGACAGCTACTTTGAGAAGCCGCGCTACCTGGAGCAGAAGCCCCTTCCCGCCCCCACCCAGGCCACCACCAACCAGACCAGGTCCTCCAGCCAAATGGGAGACGTGACGCTGGAGAGGATGATCGACGCCATCCTGGAGAGCAACCGGAAGACCACCAACATCCGACCCCCACGGCAGCACAGGCACCGGCATCCGTTGCACCACCTGAAGGGCACCGCCTCCTCTGCCGCCACCCACTCGCCCACCTACCGCCCCGCCTTTGATCCCGCCAGCGACCTGCGGGAGTACTGGAAGTCGCCCTCGCAGCGGGAGACCTCCCTGACGCGGTTTGAGGAGCGGGAGGTGTGCTCCCCCGCCCGCAATCCCGGCCAGAGCCGCAAGCGCCACTCCCTGCAAGGCCTGAGGAGGCAGCGGGTGGTGAGGCGCAAGCGAAAGATCACCACCAAGATCTCCTCCAGCGTCCGGCAGTCGGCCCAGAAGCTCCTGGCCGCTGCAAAGTCCGGAGGATCGACTGCAAAAAGGCGCCACATCAGCCCGGACAGCGGACACAACTCCACGAGTGACCTGGAGGAGGAGGAGGAAGCAGGGCTGGGTGGAGAGGAGCTGGAAGCAGCCTGCCATCTGGAGGCCATGTGGCTGCCCTCCCACCCGGCCAGGGACGCCACCAAGAGAAGGCTCAGCTTTTCGCTGGCGGATCACAGCTGATCCTTCTGGGTTATTCCTAATTTTTTTTTACACTTTTTTTTATTAGCTTTAAGAGAATTTTTTTTGTCGTGGAATAAATCATTTTTTATGCAAAATTAAGCAAGAGGAGTTATGCGTTTTAATGGAGTTGCGCTGGGCTGCCATAATTTGGATGGAAACCACAAGGAGAGCACCGCAGTGGCCGGCAGTTTATGCAAAACACCTTGCGAGGATCGCTGGAGCGTGTCCGAAAAGGGATTCCTTGACACGAAGGTGAAGAGGCCACTTGGCCACTTGGTTTTATTTTTCTCTTGAGGCTTAATGAGCGTTTTAATGCTCGGCCAGCAAGGCGGAGGAAAGGGGTGTCGCTGCTCTAGAGAGTAGAGTCTAGAGTCTAGACCAAGTTCAAATAATGAGGGCCAGAATGGAGGGGGTTCAGACCACAGAAATTGTCACCCAGACCTCGAACCAAAACCCGCAGACATTCACGCTTCAAATGCACTTGATTCCAGTGGGTAAACATCAAATATTCTTTAGTTTTTTGGGTTATTTTGTTAGAAAGTAGTTACCTGGAAAAAATTACAGGTAACCCCCAACAGAAGAAGAGGTACTCGAGTCGGTAAATTACCATTTGAAGGGGAAGGGAATAATAATTACCGCGTGTTAAGAACCTTCAAGATTCCTAAGCTTCTTTTAACAACACATTTTCCCAGGGGTTTCTTTGGAAGAGGCTTTGGAAGCCTTTAAAATTATATTCAAATGGGTTTTGAAAATATTTTTGGAATTATTATTAAATATATGACTAAGAATATGGTCTTTAGAAATATGGATAAGAAAGATATAGTATTTCTTAGCTTTAAGATATTTAGAATCTTAAAGACGCAAGAAAATAAATATATATTCTAGCAAGAATAATTCTTTATAATTTAACAGCCCTCTTTAAAAAATTCTACAAAGATTCCTAACCAAAAACTATCCATACTAACCGGTTCTATCCATATATTTAATAAATTCCTAACTAAAAACAGAGAAGACTCAAGCTCCCGCTGTTTTTACAAAAAGAAACCCCGAACCAAGACACTTATTCCCACAAATCCTTTCCCCCAAGGCACCCAATTATATAGTTTTTTTTCCCAGACCAGGCTGGTCAAGAGCAATTAGCCAAGACGAGCAGTTGACCAGTCGGATGACAACCTATCGATGGCCTAATCCGCGTTAAATGAGCTGTCATAACATTTGGCATCAACCCCCGATATATCCAGTCTATATCCATATGTATGCAAATGCCAGAGGAATGTCTGACGGGGAGAATGGGTTAACACTTCTTCTCACAGACAAGTATGGCCAGAATATACATAATTTTCCCAAAGGAGCAACCTTCTCCGGCCAAGGTGCGCCGATCATCGAAGCGTGAAAAAGGGGCTGAGAAAGGGGCTGCCTGGCCTCTTTGGCTTCCTCGATATTGACCATTGTGAGACTTGTCAGGGGGAACAATGTAAAATACATGATTACGTGATGGCAGAGTGGCAGAGGTTTGTGTCCTTTCGGGTTCGAGCGGTCAAGCAGTTTCCATTTTTTTCAGATAACCCCGCCAAAAAAAGGATTCGAAAGTGGATGTACACTGTACAGGTCCTCGCTGTCATACCCTCGTCCGGAACTTTCTTTAGTTTTCCTCAAGGGGCAGGCATATTATTTCTATTATTATTATTATCATCATAGGGTTTTCCCATTTGGTCTCAACCATCTAATGACCGGACTCCGTCCAGTTCCCAACTTGTCGTCTCATTTAACATGCATTTCTTTAATTTCGTTTTGATTGAAAGTGAAACGGATACTTCACCCAAAAATAACAACAAATCCAGGAAGTGCTCTCTTTTTCGGTATCTTTGTCTGCAACATGTCATGGATCGTTGACGAGTAATAACTTTCGGATAATGATCGTAGTTGGGTCGTAGGTTTTGTTTTTAGTTTTGGGAGGCAGTCAGAGTTGCATAACTGATGATAGATAAGGATAATGGTTTAAATCATTCCTTTAAAATATAAAAGAGTTCTTTAATAGAGGATTTTTGGAAATTAAAAATATTAAATATTTAAAAATTACCAGTACCAGATAATATACACATATATTGCTTCTTTTCTTGGGTTTCTTAAGAAGGAAAACTTAAATGAAACCTGAAGTCCATTAGGAACTTTAAAGAAGACAACCTAAAGTAAAGAAAAATACTAAAATAGACTTAAAAGTATCATTAATTATATAGTAAAAATGCTTAACTTCATCTAGCTTTTGGTATTTAATTATTTAAAAATATTTAAACAAGTCCTATTAAATATTTATTGGAAAGCATCCCATCTAAGACGTACCGGGTATCATGAAGTAAAGTAAAGGTATCATAAGTATCATAAAGAAACAGAAACCATCCTTTTAATTATTATTTTAAGATGTTTAAGGTTCTTAAGTTCCTATTAAATAACATCAATCCTTTCTTTTTAAATATTATATGATATTTTTTAAAGGAGAAAGCGAAAAAAGGATATCATACAGTAGAAAACAGTATCTACTTCTCATGTTTTATCATTCAACATAAAAAGTCTAAAATAAATAAGAAAAAATGAATCATAAATATTTAAGAATATGCATATATTTTCTTGATATCATTTATAATACTACTACCAAGAACTACTCAAATATATCTCTTTGATATTATTATATCTGTTTAGTTATCTTTGAAAACCCCCAGTTTTAAAAACCCTTTTCCATAATTGAAATGTTTTGATATAAAAGTAGGACCCATTGTAGTTTTATGAATGTGTAACAATTAAAAGATCTGTCGATCGGTCGATCGGCAATCAATTGAAAAACCATTTAATGGCACACTTTTGTTTCGGTTTTAGGAAAATGTGGGGAAAATTGTGAAAAATCAGAGAAATGAAAAGCGGGCGGGCTGGCAGGCTGGCGGCAGGCGGGTGTGGGCACACTTCAATATCTTCTCTAATTGCGATTTAAACGTTTCTCGAGTGGCGAAAATTGAAACGAGTGGAAAAACAGGACGCAGGACGAAGGGCAAGGACGATGCACCCGCTTATTTTTGGCAACAGTGACAAAAGTTGGAAAAATCCCAATCGAGCTCGAGTTCATCCAGTCCACCATGCACCTTTCGACCCGCACTTTTGTTGTTATCCTGCTGTCATTATCCTTCGGCCCGCTTGTTGGAAAGAGAAGCAGCTAGTGAGAGCAAGTGAGAGTAAGAGAGAGATGGAGAGAAAGTCGAAAGCCACGCACGCGCCTTTTCTACTTTATTATCGCCTGGCGATCTGATCGATCGGCAGAAACAGTTGCAAAAACAGGACTTACAAACACAAGGACATAAAGAGTAGAGTGGGGAGGGGTAGGGGGGGTTCCTGCCTGGTTCCTGCATATCCTGCATATCCTGTCAGGAAGTCAACGTCACTCGCCGGCGACGTGTGTGCCAACGTGTCAACATGTGCAAAAACAGGACACTCGCAGAGACACACACACTAACACACATGGCAATGCCCAGGAGACTGACAGGATAAAGGACATTTAACAGTTATATTCCTAAATTCTGCGGGCAAATACCACCATCTATATAAAATGTATATAGGATATTCTTAGGTGTTTTGGATAAATAAAACGTAGGTTTTTTTTGAAGAATTATTTCCTATATCGTAGAAATTAGTTTTCCTATAAAAATTATCTTCCAACCCCCAAGAAAGGTGCTAAATGTGCTCTAAATAAAAAATATAATAAGTAGATATATAGAAAGGACTCTCATTCTGAGCCAGGCTCTAATTTCTAGCAAGGTTCTAACGAGCCGTATCCTTAAAAAAAAACCCAAAAAAAGAAATACAATTTCACCTGTTGGGCAGTTCAATGTCCTGCTCCTTCTTCTGGGCTGCCACAGTTTGTTGCTACATTGTCCTTGACTTTCTTCCAGGACATCCTTGTTGCGGGTTTTTTTTGTGTGTGTGTTTCTGTTGGGTTTTTCGGACCAATTATTGGAAAGAAAACATGTTATTTGGACTGACAAACCGCTCATCAGGCAGGTGGAAAGGTCACGGCAAGTGCCAAGATCCAGGAGAGGTTTTTCATTTCCTTGAAGTCCTTGAGGTTCCATAGAAGCCATCAGTCCAAGGTCCTAGTGCGGTTACAGCTGAAAATCTAGATCAGAGGTCAGCGGTTTAAAGGTTCTTATGGATAAATTTTATTTAAAATATTTTTCAGATATTAAATATTTAAAAAACTTACTGAATTAAATTTTAGCACTTTTGGGAATATCTTAAAAATTAATTCAGAATTTTAAAACCCCTACAAATAATTAATCTTAATTTTTTCTATTCTAACAATTTCCAGGAAATAGAAATTTGAATAAAAAGGAAGATGATCATTTTCTATAATCAATCAATTTTTAGTCCTGACCCGGAAAGGATATATGTATATTCCAGGGAAATATTTCCATAAAAATGCATAAAATAATCAATGTAAAAAAAAAAGAGCAGGCCCTCGAGATGATCAATCTTATGGCTTCTTAGATCTGGATTAGAATCCTTTTTGCATAATATCGTCATGCATCATCGCCTGGTCGGTCTACTGACTGATATATAATTGCCAATATTTCTTAAAGGATAACAAAAAAAAAACCCAGAGCTAGAGACAAGAAGCAACCCTTTCGAGGGGCAGGGACGAACAAATGTTGCACATCATTCCCTGGTGCATATCATTAATGCAAATCTATGGGCCAGGACACCCCGGGACGAGCGCAAACTGTCATGTCATTGAAAATATTATTATAACAGTTGCGTGTGCGAATCCTTAAAGGATCGGCAATCGTCTATCGGCAATCGGCAATATGCTATCCGCAAGTCCTTGTTGCAATCTTTTGGTCCCCAGGAAGGTCCTTAGAGGCCTTGCCAACCCTTCATTAAGTGCGGCTCACTTGACAGCAGACAACGCTTCCGATGTGACAAAATCATTATCCTTTATCCTCTATCCTTTATCCTTTGGGTAGCCGTGAGATTCACTTGAAGTAGCAGGCCTCGAAAGAA